CAAGCTCATGAGTAAAACATCTGCTGCTTCAGAGTGTGCAGTAAATGGCTATCAGCTGTCTGAAACAAATCTCTTTCAGAATACAGCTCTCCTCAGAATATTCCTTGGGCTTGATCTCTCACAGACCCCTATATATATATATATATATATACACACACAAGTAGACGTGTGTTTTGTGGACCTGAGAGTCTCTCATTATCACATGAGAGTGAGTGACAGGACAGAGAAAGATCTCTGGGTCCAACGTTTCTAAACCCAGATTGCCAAGTCAGGCTGTAGTTACACCACAGAGCCTGAGCAGGCTCAAGGTCTAAGTGACCAATTAACCCAGACTAATTTATCAATCCAGATACCTACACTGGATAAAATCAAATAATACATAACAACAATAATATTTTACTAGTAAGCTGGGGAGCCCACAGAAGGTGCCAGGCCACCTAGATAATTTATTTTCCTGTATCACATAGCACAGAGAATTTCACTCTGACTCAAGCACGGCAACATGTTAGAAATCTCACTACTGTACAAATGAAGGAGAACTGGTCTCAAAAACACTACACCTTGAGCAGCTCTGTTCTCTGCAGATGCTGTTGGAGATGCTGGGATTAGAAGAGACCGAAAGCATAGATGTGCTGAATAATGAGCAAGTGTATGCAAGTTTACTGTTAGCGGACTGAGAAATAGTATTTACAGACAACAGGGTTTTTTTTACAGTTATCATTTCTGAACCTGCTGGTGGTGAACAGCTTGTTAAAATGACTGTAATGGGAAAGAGAGAAGAGGGAGCAATAATCAAACAGTTTAGGTGCCTACAGTCCTTAAATGGTTTCTGTCACCACAGGGAGAGACGGATTCCTGCCCACCAGAACAGCCGCTGTGCTGTTATTTCCCCTTGCAGGAACCCATCTCTCCCCAAGAGATGCTACCTTCTGGACTTGACCAAGGTTTCAGGGGACCACTGGGCCTATCCAAGAGCTGTCAGGTAACAAATGGCACCTAAATATGTCCCTACAGTCCCACCTGCATGGTCTCACCACCTCCTTGGCTTTGACTCTGAAATTCCTCTGGCTTTGTTGGCATGAATCAATTTTATTCCTTTTGTTGCCATGTCAGGTTTTTTCCAGCTCAGTGTGCCAAACCAACTTAGTGTAGGATCAGAGAGGAGCCAAAGATGGCATGAAGGAAGTGCCACAGTGCAAGAATGAGGACTGGACTGTGAGCCAGCCATTACAGCTAAAGTCACTGTGGAGCTACAGCGCAATTTTAGCACCTCCAGTTATGCAATGTGACTATCCCACCATGCTGCCTTCCTTGAGATGTAAGCAGAGTCATTTAAAGTATGTTTTACTATGCTGCAAGCATAGCAGCATTTGATTCATAGGCACGTAAACTCCCTAACAGACACTAAACAGGACTACATAATGCCCTATGGAGGGAAGAGAAATAACCAGCCTGAGGCAGCACTGGATCCTAAAGGAAGATGTAACATTAAAGATTCAGAGGAGAAAAAGGAAGAACAGCAGCCAAGCAGGCTTTAATCTAACGATGCTGTAAAGCAGTCATGTGCAAGGACACTGTCAGCCTTTGCAAAGGTACAGTGGAACTATTAGCATGTTGTCAGTGTTTCTATCTTTAGACAACGATTTAATATCAATATTCTTTCCACAGCATGTGACAAACTGGAGGCCCACAAACCCTAAAAATTATTATTCCTCATGTGAAGTAGAGGGAACTGAAAGGCCCTTCCTAACCTTTGGTCATGAATTCTTAATCAAAACTGCACTTGGCTGAGTCTTGCAAAAGTGTCATAAACATTCCCAGCTAGGGAAGGGACTCAAGATCCATTTATTCACCATTAACCTGGCACAGATGTAAAATCAATGAGAAATCATAGATGTGAAATAAAGAATTTATTTGGCTACCTGGAAAAACATCCTTTCCCGCAGTGAGTGTGCTTCACCAAGTCTTGATCAATCTCACTATAACCTGTCACACAGAAATGCCATTAGGTTGCCCGGTCTGTGCACAGATTAGCAAGACCTATCCACCAAGCACACAGCAGCAGTAGCTATAATAAAGCCAAGTGCAAGGTCTGCACTCCTGTGAAGTGGATGCTACTAGCATCTCATAGGAACTTCATGTCTGGAGCAAGGCCTGAGAAACCTACATTAAAAACAGGTTCTTAATCTAAAGTCTAATAAAACATATTTTCATTCTATGAGGAGCTAAGAGTATTGGTGGGAAAGGGTAGGAAAGGTTAACAATTCCTCCACGCATTTCTTGTTAGTCCTGCGCTCCACACAAATCACTGAGAGCTTTGAGAGCACAGAGATTCAGGGCCTCAGGTCAATGACAAGTTTAAACAGTGCTAAAAAGTCATAGTGTCTGTCCATGCTACAGAGCTTCCTGTTTGCTCTCATTTGTGAGTGCTACATCACACTCCTTCAATTAAGACCTCTTTCCATTAAGGAAATTAGAATAGTTTCCTTCTTTGGCTAAACTTCTTTTAAAAAGTACTCCAGTAACCTTTCCAGCAACTAGTACATGTGTGTTATTTATAACATAGCTGCACAGAAATGGTCCAGACACACAACTTCATGGTGTGTCATGGTATGCTGTATACATTTATATGAGATAACAAAAGACACTTAAAACTAACAAACAAATGCTATTGAAAGAAGTTGCTTCTCCACTGCAATTACATTTCATTTTCTCCTCTCCACATCTTGTGCTTACACACAAACAGGTTTTGCCACTTCAGCCACTGAGTAGTTCATTGAATTTAATCTGAGCAATGAATGATACCCTTTGCATCACCTCTACATGCACACAAAGCACTTGCTATTGTTCTGGATACAATGAAGGATCCTCAGTCTCTAAAAGATGTATGAATTTTTCCAAGTCAAACCATGTAGCTTCTACACAGCCATCTCATTGCACTGTGCTAGACTGGAACAAGTCACAGTCCTTGCCTGGACAGAGGTGCATCTTTGTCTCTCTGGATAAAATACAATGTGGTTCTCCTCAACCTGTTTGCATCACCCAGAGAACAACTATGTCATATTGCACAGCTTCCAACTACCAACACTCTGGGATAGTCTGTGTGCGCGATTTATGGTATAGGAGGAGCATTTTTGGGAGCACATTTATTTTTGATCTACAACTAGGACTTGCAGTAGGCAATCACCCCTAACACTCATAACATGGATGTAGGGTCTTGCAGCAGCCAGCTCTCTGCACATGAGCAGCAGATGCCTATTGCCAGAATTTGGCACAAATTTCACTGCTGGTGACGACAAAATGTGGATGTGTGGTGCTGGAACCATAACAGATCACAGTAAATCAAACCCTTGTGCTCGCCTCTTTCAGTCACCAGCTGGTAACACAGATGTACTCATCAACTGTGTTTCTGTTAAGAGCCCTACTGATATTCAGAGGTCCACTCATGTATTAGTGGTGTCATTCAATGCCCCAAAGCACTACCTACTTTTTAAAAACCTTATTTTAAAAAATCTACTTTATTGCTGGTGTATACAGCCAGGAACTATGGACACTTCTGCTTGGGTAGGAGTAGTATTGGATTCTGATATCATTACCTTGGAAATGGATCAAGATGCTTAATGTGCCTCAGCTAAGAGACCTGGACCCATACCGATTGATTCTAATACTTTCAGAATTATTTATGTGATTACAAAACTGCTGCAAGGTAAGCCTGCAAATATTACAGTATAGAAATGCTCTTGCGAAGTATCAGTTTAAAACATTTTTTAACCTTATTTTATAAGGTTTGATTCATCTAAATAGGATTTTTCTTTGCAGATACAATCCTCAATGAGTGGAATATTGAATGCTCTTTAAATCACTTGATTGGGGAATTACTGCTACAGTGGCAAAACGAGTTTTAGTAAACATTTGACAGTATCTGTAAAAAGCAGCAGGACACTATATTTGAATTGATCTTTCAAGACTCTCAGAAAAGCTACTGAAACTGAGCTTACAGTAGCTGTTCTTACAATTTCTTGTTTGGTTGGGGTTTTTTTCTGCAGGAAAACAAGCAATAACATACAAGCAGCCATAGCTAGGGCAACAACTGCTCATGGTAGCTCCTGTAAATGTTAATGTGATTCTTTCCACTGGGCTGATATTTCACTTTCTCTAGTTGCAGGATGTTGCTCCCCGGGTATTCTTGGACCATCTGGAAACTTAAAGCACAAGAACTGCATTGGTTTTAAATTAAGAGACTGTAGGATCTCTCCTCATATGTTCTGGTATAGGAGAAGAGCTTGGGGTTGACTGTAAAAGCAACATTCTTCTAATAATGCTTAATGCAGTTTCCTTATCTGTAGGTCACATACTGGTCCAAGCTATGCTGGGTGAAAAAGAAGTAGAAGAAATGATAGGTTTGGTACCTATCATTTTTCTAATGAATGGTCCATCTCATATGTCAGCCGAGATACAGAGCTGGGATTGCAGGAATGTGTGCAAAGGCATGTCCTACCAAGACTCTGGGGACTGCAGCATGGAACCTAGTTCATTTTTCTCATTTGCAGTTGAACTGGACCTTAGATAAAAACACAAGCAAGAAGACGGGTTTAAAAACAATTATACAGCTCTGGTCCTTCAAACACTTGTTCACAAAATTAACATCACTCACATGAGTGATCTCATTAAAGCCACAGCATTATCTATTGCCCACAAAATGAAAGCCCATAAACCACTTGACTATCTCCAACCTGGGGGATTTTTGAATCTGTGCACCCTGGAACAAGCTGAGAATGACATGGCTCAGAATTAATTACTCCACTGTAAGTCTTCTCATCACCTTTCTCATGTAGACAAATGCTAGTGTTTATAGGATCAAGTTCTTAATTGAAAATTTCCACTGCCAACTGATGCAGCTACCATACAGAGACTATTGCCTGTATTACATGATACTAACAAAACCAGAGATCTCACGTAAAAATATTTTAATATCCTTTAAGAAGCAAAACATGATGAAGGTCACATATTGCCACCATCCTGAGGTTGTGCTTTGCTGCAATTAAACCAATAGGCAGGATTTTCAGAATTTCCCAAATAAATGTTAGTTTGTATTTAAAAAAAAAAAGATTACTCAGAATTCAGAAATGTAGCAGTTGCTGCGTGAAAAAAACACTTCCTTTTCTCAAGTGTAAAATGTTTCTCTATTGTAATAACGCAGCTTAAATCACAAAAATCACATCAGCTCAAATCCAACACTGAACTGCTGAGATACACACAAATTGTCTCCTTAGGATCATCACCCTGAAATTAAAACAATAAAATATGTTATTGATATTTCTTGTACAGCAGGAAAATAGCTTACTATATTCAAAATAAGCTAAGAGCTTAGTCTTCTCCGTGTGCCTTTCATCTTCGGCATCTGCTTTTTCATCCTTATTTCGGACTGGGAGTCTGTGACATTTATTATACAGCACCACAGGCTCACGAAATTCTCCTGGGTAAGCTGGACTGCTAGTGCCCGATTTAGCTTTAGTATCTGCTCTTTCTAAAGGAGCACTTCTTCATTAGAAGACCCCCAGAGCTGTTCACTCTTATCCCACCTGCACCACCCTTTTCAGACTTCCTAAGATAACCAAGGCTGGCTCTAACCAGTATCTTCATGGGACGCTTCCACTGTTAATCTATGGATATGTTCTAAATTCATTACCTTAGTCTTATTTGAAATAGCTAGAGATTGAATTATTCTGTTTCTTCAACAGGCTAGTTCTGCTGTACAAAACCAAACCCTTCTAGATCTCTAAATATTTTTTCATTTGATTTCAAAACTAATATAAATTCAAATTTGCTTTAATCTATATTTTTCTACTCTGGTGGATTGTAACTAAACCAGAAGCAACTTATCTCCACTTGTTGCATTACTGACATTACTCTTAACACTTAAAATCAGCTAGTGGCAAAAGTACGTGCTTAAAAGCTATACTGCATGGGCACTACAGCAGAAGACCTTTCTTTCAATGTTGTATACATCTAATAATTTCATGCTGGATAATATTTGCCCAAGTTAAGGACAAGCTGAAATTTGGCTGCCTGATAGGAACCCAGAGGTGTCCTAATTTTTAAAATGTGGTATCATTTTTCTCAAGGTAATTAAAAATTAACTGTAGGGCAGTTCATATTTCTCTAGCTACACTGAGACACCACAAGCACAAAAGAATTTCAGCAGAATTTCAGCTCATGCTGGCATCCTACTGTTACATAGATGGGTTATTTATAACAATTATATTTATAAATGGGTTATTTCTAACAGTATTTATCACTTATTTGGATTGCAGCAACTTTCAAGATTAAAAAAGATAACATGCTGACAGAGTTTGGAACAAAATGATTCTCTTTGATGTTAATTCCCGAGGAATTAAGCAGGCAGCCCCCTGCTTTACAGGATACTGCCATGCTAGCTCCAGCTTGAGTGGAGGGCTGCGCTGCTGCTCTGTCAGAAATAGCTGTCTTTTAATCATCTGGTTGGAATTAAAAAGCCCAGACCCAACTTTTACTTTCCAGGTAAGATACAAGCACACTCAGTCGAAGGTTCCGCAGTTCTCACTCCTTAACCACGACCACACCTCTGCTCAGCCTCTCCTCCTTCAGTCCTTCTGCTCAGACAATTGAACACTATTCTCCCAGGTTCAGTCAATCTCAGTTTCATTCTTTCTTTCCATGTTTTTTTTTTCTCTGTTGACTGACTCCTTTGAGCAGCTGCTTAATGTTACTGTGCTGTATGTCAAAGCAACACAAACTCATCTTCCCTGCTGTCTCTTTCTAGCAAACAGAAAGCTTGATGGATTCTTGGTCAGACAAAAATCTGCATTTTTACCAGGCTTCTGGGCAATCAGATTTTTGCCAGTTGGATTAATTTATCATCTGACAATTTTTCTAATCATGTTTTTCTATTTTTAAATACGAATCAGGCCATTTCCCCTCCTTGAACCTATGTTTACTTGAAGCTAATGACATGCCGTTCAGGCTTATCAGGTTAAACCAATGCTCAAACAAGACTTCCTTCAGCTGCAGGGCCATAGCAAAACTGATCTGGTAATGTAATACAAAATAATAAAGATCATTATTTTAATTACATTTCAAGATTCTGCTGATGTCTCATTTTCCATTTTACCATCTGTGATAGGTATGTATCTGCTTTACTGGAGGAGACGTACATATCTGTTGAGCACAATTGTAGAGGGGCAGGCGCTGATATGAAGGCAAATAGAGTTCCCACGCTGTTCAGCACCACCTCTACAGGACTCCCATCCAACCATAAAGGTTCACCTTTACAATGGCAAGGATGGTGTTTAGGAGTGATAATATCAAAATGATTCATTGGGATGCAGTTATGCTCTCCCTGTGCTGTTCCAGAACCTGCTACCTGCTTGCAATATAGGTGCTTGCAGCAGAGCAGCTTCCTTCACTTCCTATTTATAGCAGCAAACTTTCATGTTCTACTAATGGGTCTGCCTGAGACTTCTGTGGGCACCCAGTGGTGGAAGGAATCTTCTTTAGCTACCCACTAACAGGGAAGAGCACAGAGCAGGGAGAACATAAAAGGGAAATTGAAAAGAGAAAGGAGATTGTTCAATTTTTAGAAAAGGTCATCTTCAGTGAAATATACTCATTATAGAATTTCAATTATCTCTAATAGCTGATAATAGCAGCAGAATGGTAGCTCATACCGAAAGCATTTAATTCCTTTGGTTTTAAACGACTAACTTCTCTTTGTAAATACAAATGTAAATTAGGGCAGCACATCTTACCCTTCTGGTAGTTTTTTTCTTTTGCAAATTTGGCAACAGAAGTGATTTTCAGTCTGTCAAGCATGGATAGCATTTAATTAAACCATACAGATGCTTAAACATTTTTGTGGCTTCTATCTGCTTCTCCCTAGATGAAATATTCCTAAAGAGCTGCCTTGCATTTCCTTAGCTGGTGTAGTTATTACAATTAAAATTGCATGGTATATCTTCAGACATTTACATTACAGTAAGAATAAATACAATGGAAACTGCAGGGTATAAACAGCTTAGCCACTAGGAAAAAATGCATTATGTATTTCTTAACCTTTTCAGTATGCTGCAACTTTTCACAAGAGAAAAAGCATACCTTAGCCACGTGAAACTGCATACATACACACCTCCTCCTAGGCAATCTCCTGTCACGGGCTAGGAGAGCGGATTCACTAGATTACTTCAAGGTCTCTTTTCACGTGTTTTATGTTATTCTAATGATGTATGAAAGCCGTTTATTCTTCAAATAAAACTGAAACTGAATACAACTGTTCCTTCTTGGTACTAGCAATCTGCTAATTTAAAACTTAGCAGTGTCCGATGATGAACCAAGTGTGAATGTATCTTTGATAGCATGTTTTCTAAACACCATCAAAGGATATTTTCAAATACATTTCAGAACATAGCCAGAAGAAAAGCCCTTAGCTTTTGAACTTAAAATTCCTGGCCTGAATAAGAGGATGCTATTTTAATTTATTTAACTTGAGATAGAGTTGTGAGATTACATCAGTCCAATTAAAGCATATTGTATACAACAGTAATTCTACCATACATTTCACTTACTGTTACATTAATTTGAATCCCCTGGAAAAATACAGTTCTGTAAAAGACACATCTGACAACAGTATTGTGAGCTGGAATTTGAGTTAGCTTAAAAGAGGGAAGTCTTCATACAAGTTGGCCTTATTTTGTGAACTGGGCAAATTAAGATTGAAAACATGTAGACAAATATTTTCAAAGTAATCTGTACACAGCAAACTGGTTTAAGGTCAGAGTCCAGACTCTGGGCTGCCTTTCTCTGAGGCAATACACAGAGACCCAAGGGGGATGGGACAGTTAGAAAGAACAGAAGAAAGGGAATGACACTTCCTCCTATATCTGTAACTTCCAGATTCTGAGCTGCCTCGAGGTAAAATCCTCAGCAAGATCTGTTGTAGTATATGGCAGCTTCCTCACTGCTGTCCACAAGCTGTGCTGCACCCAGGGCTGTGAGAGCACACAGCTCTAAACTTATTTTTACCTAACAAGAGGGAACAAGGGTACATATGATGCATGGTACTCCTTCATGGGGCAATCTTAATCCTTACTTTGGCTTCTGTGTACATCTGGAAAGGCTATACCAGGATTAGGCATCTTCTTTTGTGAATTATGGTGTGTAATTGCCTTTAATAGAGCAATTCACAAAGGAGGCTGGTTCATGGGAACTGATCCCAAACCAGACACGGGTTGCTAAAGACACGTATCTGAGATAAGGAGACAGTACTGAATGACTAAATTATGGTTGTAATGTGTATCTAGCTATGCTCCCCACCTAAGTTTACAATTAGCAAACATTTCTCTACGCCATGGTACATTTATTCAGAAAACTACATACCTTTCACTTACTTACAAACACAACTTTCATTAAGTGTAAGGTAGAAATGTTTTTCTAAGGAGGAACAGACCCACAGTTCACAAAACAAGTTTTCCCTTGACACATTACTTAAATAAAGAGATTTTATGTGGTAAGAACGTGACCTACCTTTTTAGTCTGATTCACATTTACCAAACTGCAACTTCAAAATGCCTTTGCCATGAAGCTGAAGAATCTGGTTGTATTCTTTGGGCATTGCATGGAAACCTGGTTTAGGCAGCTGGTTGTCATAATAATGGTGGCTGATTGGCATCTTCTCCATGGATTTTGAGAAAGGCCAGAAGCCATAGAGCTTCACATTCTCACACAGCTCAAGAGCAGCACTAGTGATCATAAAACCAGATGACAACCGGTAGGCTTTCACACCCTTAGTTCTCCAGAACTGGGCAAGACTTTTCAGATAAGTGGGGTGAAAAAATATTGCCCTTTGGGTTGCTTTGAACTCTTGCAGAGTGTGATACACTTTAAAAGAAGTGGCTGTGTTGCTTCTGAAGGAAAACGCTGGCAATAAAAGCAAAGCATCTCCATAGACCGCAATGTTCTCCAGAAATTCAGCCTTCTTTTCATTTAGTTTGTTGTACCTGCAAAGTACAACATTTCAGGAAAAGACTGAATGGAATTTTGGAATACTTGCATAGTATGAACAGAGTTATGAACTCTGCTGCACCAGTTCAGCCTGTCTATACAGCCAATTTATACCAACCTGTTGCATATTGTCATATGTGCAGTAATGAAAATCTGTCTTTATTGTATAATAAGAACACATTCCATAGGATTGAATTGGCAACTGGGAGTTACTGAAGCAGATCAAATTCACTGCTAGTAAAACCAGGACTTGCTTAGAGAATTAATTAATTCAAGAAATGTCAAAGACGAATGGAAAAAAAAAAAAAAGTATTTATATTTCCTGTGTTTAAAAACACATGCACCATCTATTTTTATACTATGCACAGTATGATACATACTGCATGTGCTTGTGAAATGTGTTTCTTACATCAACAGGTATACAATACCTCTCTTCAAAACCTGGGTGTCTGCCCCATTTGGAAATACAAGTATGCACATGAGTAGTCTTGGAGTGTTAAATACTAGTGTGTGCTCAAGTTTCACAGGATCTTAGCTACTTTTGATACGCTTTTAAAATAGCTTAAAATATAAGCATATCTATTTATCTCCTTTAACTATAAAGGGAACAGATGGAGTTAGAGATCTAACTTCATAAATGAAGAGGATTTATTCTCAGATGCTTTGGTTCCCAATAACTAGCAAAGAGCCTTAGTTCTCACCATTGACTAATCCTCATGCTCCCAAATACTGAAGAGTGAACTTCCAGAGTTACCCAAGAAGCGATACAAGACACAAGGGGGTCACTCATCTAGTTTCCTCTATAGATCTGAGTTGTCTGAATCATCTGAATATAGGGCACTTTAAACCCCTTTAGGATTCAAAGAACTGAGTTCTTTTTTGTAGGTAGTTGTCTATCTGAGCAGTGTATTTTCACCTTCTAAGGACTACCAGAGCCCACTTTTCACAAATGGCTTCAAGCAGAAACTGGAAAAATTGGTTTAATTTCTCTTCACAACCTGAGTAGCTTCAAACCTTCTTGTTATGGAGCACTTCAAGACAGCGGACAGCAGCCACTGTCATTTCCATTCAAAACCCTCACAGAGGACTTGGCAGTTACCTCTTGCACAACTGAACTCCTGCAGAGTGATACAGTCCTTCTCAGCCTGAGGGGGGTTAAACTTACAGTTCTGCTTCCCAGAAAAGTGCCATTACCATCAGATTTTGAAACAAAATGAAGACTCAGGCCCTCCCTGTTGACCCCAGCCCCCTCTGCATGCAACAGCCACACAGCCAAAGCAAGCAAGAAACGCCTGAGCATATGACTGCAAAGTGTGGCTGAAGGATGAACTTCTGGACTTTACTTCAAGAATCTTCTCTATTTCTACTCAGTGTAAAGTACATAAAGAGCCTTCAGGACACAATTCAGATCTGTTCTTTCTTAGCTAGAAACCTGAACAACTCAACTTCATCTTGTTTTCTTTTCCAGCTCTGCACCTATGAGGTGCAGTGCAGCCCAGCTCCGTTAGGACACATAAGAACTGTGCTTCTCTCCCCGAAGAGAGTTCACCTACATCGTACACCCTTGACAGACACAATTCAAAAGCTGATTAACAATAGTAACAGCGGACTAACCCAGTACCCAAACACAGAATTAGAAATTAGAGTGAATAAAGTGACAATAGGTCTTTTGAGAGAAGAAAACAACTTAGTTCTGCTAAAGGGTGTCAAGTTGCTTCCTGCTCCTCCTTCAAAGGCATTTACAGTGTTCTCTCAGTATTTAGTTACTTTTTTAGATTTTTAAATCTTAAAAGTGCTCTCATAATCTCATTTCATCCTCACACAGATGTAGCTCCTATTTCCTTCAGTGCAACTGCTATGAACCTCGATGTGACTGCACTGGGCTAAAAAATGAGTGCAGCTGTGGCAGAACACATTGATCAAGCCCAGACAAATTACGCATCAGGTCAGTAGCCACCAATGATGCTGAGTCACTGGACAAAGTTTTTCTTCCTCATATTGTGCAGCCCTTCTAACATCAATGAGCTAAATCTATTTTTGGGGAAGCAATAATTCATCTTCATTTAACTCAAAAACACCTGGGTAAGCATCAAGGTAGTTAATATTGACTGCAAAAAATCAAATTCTATCCTTGAATCAATAACAAATATTTGTTAACCATTTCTATGCTCACTGTAATTTTCCCTTCTTCCTTCAAAGGAAAAAATAAAAAGCTCAGATGTTGTGTATTTGACAAATACAGCTATGACAGACAATAAGATAACAGTAAGATCAGTATGCAGTAAATAACATGCCACAGCAGTCATTTTCATAGATAAGCTGCAGTTCCAGCCTGCTGAAGATGTCAGATTAGTCAGCATGGCCTTATTAGATTTTCTTTTCATCAAGAAGGTGCAAAAAGAAGAAAAACTTTGCTGAGAAAAAAAGTGCGTGAGCAGCTTTTACATGATTGAGAAAATGGATTACAGAAATTGGGCCTCCATTGAGGAAATAGTCTTCATCAGAACAGCTTCTAAGCACATGGTACCTAAGAACATGTGCTTATAGTCCTACTGATAGAGTCAGACACACATTTCCAAGCTTTCCTGATTTACAGTTACAATTCCTTTCTTATGCTGGCAGTCATGAGGGTCATGGGGGGGAAAAGAAGAGGCTTGGGCTTGCAATCATCAGGTTTACTCTGTCAAACTGTGGACTGGTGCTAACCGAGGCACTTGCTAATGCGGGCATTGCTGACTCCTTCCTGCTCCAAAAAAGGCCAAGTTTAACAGAATTCCATTTACACTGGTACATATTTTACATGGAAACTAAGGCTTAATGAAGTAATCTGCATGCTCTGCTTTATATGCTGGTATCCCAATGGATTTCCAACAAAATCTAAATCATGTCGAACAATTACACAATATTGCACCAAAACAGATTTGCAGTAGTACTTACTTCTGAGCTATGATACTTGGATTAACAGTCACAAGGTTTGTTTTATTGCCAACATCTTTGCTAATGCTTCCCACGGTTGGAGGGAGGTTACACCTGAAATCGAGAAACATTTACTTAAACAGATGCACACCAGAAATGCTGTATAGTTAATATTTGCAAATTCCTCTGTTGTGCAATGGCACTTTCACGTCAGCTCCCAGGGATCTCTAAGCACTTTACAAATATTAAATAAGGCTTACAGCACTTCCAGTAAAAATATTTAATCTACTGTACAGATGGTTAAAATAGGGCACACAGAGCTCATTTTCACAAATCATCTCAGAAATCAGAGTGAAGTTAAAAATCCCACAAGGCGCCAGCCTATGAATGCCCTGTGTTAGCTGCTAAGATATAATTGCCCCTCTTGCTTAAACAATACATTTCTTCTGGAAGTCTTCTATAACGTCTTCTACAATAACAGTTGCATAACTTGACCAGTTGCAGAAACAGTGGTTTCTGTAAAAGGTAAAGAAAGCATTTTTTTAAATCCGTCAGTAAGTTTAGCATCTTACTATACCAATTTCCCATTTTTATAAAGGCAGTTACTGAACTGGAAAGGGTTTTTTTCCTGTTTTGCTTTGTTTTGGTTTGGGGTTTTTAATTTGAAAAGCCCAAATATTAATCAAAAGTAGGAAAGGAAACAAAATCCAGCAGATTGAGTGATTGGACATCACTGAGAGAACCGGCACACTGTTACTCTGTTCCTTTGCATGAACTACAAAGCGTGAGTCACATATAGAGAGAGTGCACCAAATTACCTCTGAGTGTGCCTGGTTTTCTCCAAAATCTATACACAGGGAGGCAAAAAAACCTACTTCAATTAGATGCCTAAATTTTTAGATGGTTAACAGAAGGTGAGACAAATATTGGGGAGTTAAATAACTGTATTAGTGAGCCAATATAAGGTTGTTGTTTAACAAAGGGTATGTAAACCCTTTGTTAAACCAAAGGTAAAGGTAAACATGTGACATTTAATGCCAGTCTTATTTCAGCTTCAGGGTTTTCTTTATTCGCTTACCTTGATAAAAAAAAAATCCTATCTTTGCAATCACAGATCATACACGTACCCCTATAGAGTCCTCTCTTTACTTAAGAAGCAGTGTTCTGAAATCTACAAAGCATAAGGAGTATCCTTAGGGAGGCAGAAATAAAGAACTGGCAAGATCCTTCCTCCTTGCTACAAACTGGCACTGGCATGCTTTCAAGCCTGCCAAGTTTTCAGAAACACTGGACACACTTCAGTGAGAAGAAGCAGCTCTTACCTAAACACAAAGTCAGAATGATCGATCTCAGCTCCACAGCTGGAATTTTTCAGAATGCCTCCATTTCCAACCACGGCACAGGTCTTGAAGGGATAGGCTGAAAGGGGAGAGGACTGCAAACAAATAAAAAGACACAGCCAATGCCTTACAAATCTTGTGATTGTTTCTTTGCACCTTTAGTCATTTGTCCTTGTAGGTTTAATCCGGTAAATCCCAGTGAAAGCATTCACCATTGAGCACACAGGGTTGCCAAGCCTGGATAGCCAAGAGCCAAAAATAGGCACTGACAGACTGAGAAGTGCTACTTCTGTCGTCAGAACTTTGGGGGAATAACACAGGATTGTTAAACCAGATTAATATCTTTAAAGACACTTAACACAAAAATCATTTAGTAGTGGACTGAATGCTTTACAAGCTAAGGACCTAACTTGTACTGGAGACAGTCTAAATTTACCCGTTCTCCTTTGCACTGTAACAGACTGGGAGTTGTCACATAGTCACTCACTTTATCAGCTAACAGAAGGTAACTTTGTAAATGCTCATTACTTTGTCATCACACAATTACATTTGATGTAAAATAACCAGTTAGGGGAACCTGAAGATGCTGTTCAGGACAGTCATGTGCCCTGGCTTAACTCGTGGCAAATGTGATAGCTAACTGAAGAAGTTACTGTTTCTGGCTGTTCATCCTCTATTCCTCTCCTTGTTGGAGGTTGCAGTCTTGCAGGGGGGAAGCTGAATGACAGTTAAGTGCATCCACTTGTGAACAGCACAGATCACAACCTAGCAAATGAATGTAAATTGTTGGCTATTTCATTTGGCATTAATATTGTTGGCTGTTATCCCAGGGTCTCAGAAACATCTCATCTATCTCGTTCAGCCTCTCCTGCTGTGGAAGCACTGACATTCAACAGAGAGGCCAACAGCTGGGCTACTTCCACTGCATGTCCTGGGTTCAGCTGTAGCAGCCAAGAAACTGAACTCACTTGTAAGACTGAGTAAAAATTTGCTTGCACAAAGCATTATCTTTCCTCCTTCTCTCAGCAGCTTAGCAAAAGAGAATCAGGAAGTGACACTGTTATGAACAGCGCAAGAAGTGTGCGGAAAGTGGCAGACATCAACAACATGTTCAAATATTTTGTTCAATTCTGAAAAGTCAGTAGGAGAAAACAAAGGCCAGAGAACTCTGGCTAACTTAGCAAGTATACGTTCAGGTAAAACATGCTACTTTTTTCTTTCACTCAGTTTAAATTTGGAACCCCTGTTCCCTCTATTGCAATGAAGGTTTTAGTGATTCACAGCAGCATTTAGAAAGGACTAGACTCATGGTAGCTGGAATCTCACAAACCCACAATGCCAGAGATGGGTAAGAAGGCTCCCATGTGCTCTTACTTATTAGAAATTAAGTACATGTCTGTGCCCCTGTTTGTCTGGTTTCCAGATCTCATATGTCTACTGTAAATCCCGATATACAAAACTGGATTCCTTTGCTCAACCTGTGTTTCTGGCTGCAAAGGCTCCACCCCAGTGGGCAACAAAGCTGGTGAAAGGGCTGGAAGGAATGTCCTATGACGAGCCGTTAAGGACTTTGGGCTCCTCTAGTTTGGAGAAAAGGAGGCTGGGGGCAACCTCTTTGCTCTCTACAGCTTCCTGAGGATGGGATGTGGAGAGGGAGGTGCTGATCTCCTCTCCCTGGTATTCAGTGATAGGACACGTGGGAATGGTTCAAAGCTGCACCAGGGAGGTTTCAACTGGGCATTAGGAAGCATTTCTTTACCAAGAGGGTAGTCAAACACTGCAACAGTCTCCCTAGAGAGGTGGTCAATGCCTGAAGCCTGCCAGTGGTTGAGAGACATTTGAACAATCCCTTAACAGCATGCTTTAAATTGGTCAGCCCTGAATTGGTCAGGCAGTTGGACTACACGCTTTTTGTAGGTCCCTTCCAACTGAAATAGTCTGTTCTATATCAGGTTTACCACGAAAATAGCTTTCCTAAGTTATATGCCCAAGCCTGCACCAGAAATGGCATGGGAATACGAGGAATATGAAATGTTGTTCCAGACTGAAATACCTTTGAAAACGGGAATGAGAAAAGCAAGGCAAACATGCTCAGAGTATTCACTCCTGAATTCAGCTGGCTGCCAAATCAGGATGCAACTTGTGTTCTTTAGCAACTCTGCCTACAATCTGATCTATGGTACCCTGTCCATGCCTCCACCACTGCAGAAGGCAGTTAAAAAATAGGTCTTACGAGGTGAATGAATAAGTGTATACAGGGGGTGAAGGGTCTCTTCCAGTGGAATCAAAGAAAGCAGCTCATTTACTAACCTAAAATATATATGATACTGCAATTACAATAACAGGTAAAGATACAGTTCTTACCACAGGCAGCATCTTAAAAATGTCCTCTGTAATGAGGATGGTCTTTTTACTGTCCACTTCATAACTCATGTTACTTCCCAGTGGGCTGTTGTTTTGAGAAGCAATAAAATTGTGAACTGCATCACAGCAGGAAGCTAATTCTGACCTGCAAAAAACCCAAACAAAACCTGCTCAAAGACAGGCAAATAAGCAGGAAAATGGTGGTAGAGAAGTAGGTCAATGAAAACCAGTTCTAATTAACTAAGCAACAAAAGGCTATATGAACTCTTGACTTGCTTTTTAAAGCAAGTCCATTTTCACAGCAAACATTCAGAAATAATCAGACCAAGAACCCCTTCTCTTATCCTATTTTTATCTCTTGGTCTCCCTTTCCCATCCAGAAAAAGTTGTAATTCGTCTTCTCCTTACTATTAATCACTTCAGCCCTCAAAGAATTAACAATGTGACTTCTGTCCACATAGAATGAGTGACTGTAAGAAACTAGAAGGCTGAAGAAAGAAAGAACCAAGCAGATTAAAGGAATGGTGATGGGAAGTATTGGCTATATTACTTAGTGAACAGTTAGATGGTCACAGGCCAATTAATTAATAGTTCATTTCCACACCTGTTCAGCACAGTTTTCCTGTGCACAGTATCCCAGATGTTAAATAAATTACATCACAACTTACAAACAAAGAAGATGGGTATCTTTGTGGTAGAGACAGAGGGCCTAGCTGCTCTCCAAAACACGCAGCAGAAGTCTTTAAATGGGTAAGGCTTCAAGGGAATCACTCAAATTTTATGTAGGAGTGAAGGCTATCACCCATCTTACGACTCCTGTTACCTCCAAACTTATAAAAATATTATGTGTGCAAACATTTTTTATTATTAACAGTGAAATGCAATGAAAAGTCTCATCAGACCTTTGAAATCGGACATGAAATGCTGTAATTCATTTTGCTTCAGGGAACAATGTTCTCTCTGCTGCTGCTGGATCCAATTTTCAGACACTAAGGCTGAAATATTCATGGCCAGACATTATCTATCAATCATTAGGACATTAGGAGAGATACTAAGAGAACTACTAACCATTTAGAGAAGGAAATTCACTGATAACGTAATTGCTTGGAACTTTGAAGAAGATAACACAGCAGGGAATTCTGTCCTAACACTGAAGGTTAAATGAGAATTAAAAAAAAAAAAAAAAAAAAAAAAAAAAAATAATTTAAAAAAAAAAAAAAAAAAAGATATATTTACAGTTGGAGCCAGCAGAATAGAAAAGGTTTGTTTCACACTTTTTCAGTAAGGCAAACCAAATCATTGGAACTACTTAAACAATACAGGCCAAATTCTGTGTGAAAGTAAGCTGACTTTAATAGGGCAAGACACAGCTAAGAGAAGTTGCTTCATTTATCAACAATGCACACAGAGCAAATATTCTAATAATAATATAATTCTATTTCTGATGGAGATAAGGCATAGTCCAGCACATGCAAGAACCCAAGGATTATGTTTTCTGGAAGACAGGGAAGAGAACAAACAGGTCTGTGATAACTCTCAATCTTACTTCTCTCGAAATAATGGTCAAAAACGGAGGAAATAAAAGGCAGGAAGGTTGGTTTGATTGATTCATACATAAAACACCAAATGAAAGACTACCATTTCAGTTGTCAAACCGCTTACTGTACATATTAACCCATTTTGAATACTGAGCTCTGAAACTCCTCAAAGTTCCCAGATGCATGAGGAACACTGGCAATGACTGAGTGCTGGGATGACACAGATCTGAAATAATCATACTAGGAGAGTTACCAGGAAATGTTAAAAGGAAATACAGCTCCTGAGAGAAGAAACAGTAGAGTTCAGATTTCCACAAGCCATATTCAGCTCTACTCCATGAACATAGTAATTCCCACCATCTTCCTCAAAGCTTTAATGAGCAGGGCAGGTCTGTGGTCAATGAAAACCACTAGGTACAAAGGCAATCACACAGAGATGAGGAATCACACACCCCATAATTTTTGATTTCTTTAAATTTTTTCTTAAAGCTAAAAGTAGCTAAAAGGCCTAAGTATTATGTGTCAACTACAGGAGGTTCAGAAGAGAAGGAATAATGCCAAAATGTTCTTGCCCAGCTTTAGTTCTGTGTGTGATGGCAACCAGAATCTGAAAAAGCAAACTGATGACAGATAACAGTCATTAATACAGATCATGTGGGTTTGCTTTTTATTACTCATTCCACAAGAATGAGTTCTTCAATAAAACCAGAAACAGTCTGGAAGAAAAATGGATATCAGAATTAATAAGAAAGTAATTCTTTAAATTAATATTATGGATCCACCGCAGAAGTAAAACAGCCAGGCTAGTTCAGCAACACAGTGAAAACAAGAGAATACATACTGATTAATGATACATATTCTGATCTTATCTAAGAGCATACTCGCTAAAAATTTGGAGGTAACAATAGAAACCTCCTACTTAGATCAAATCATGACACAGAATCCCACTGTATCCAAGCAGTCACGTACAGAACTGAAGCAGGAAACATGTAACCTTCAGAAAGCAATACCCACTGGCAATATATTTAGCTGTCTGTTTGTATGGGATTTTGTACATATGGTATGTCTACAACTGACAGCAAACAATAATGAAGGGGTAGAGACAAGACAGTTCAAGCAATCTGCTACTGCAATCGTCATCACAGTATTAATGTCATACGTGGTCTCTGTCATGAGATAATGACACCCTAAAGTGCATGTACGTCATGAGATTAAGACATGTATTGTACAAGTTCAGAGGAAAACCAAAAAGCTAATCAGAGGGCTGGAGCGCTCCTACTACTATGGAGGCAGGCTGAGAGATTTGGGCTTGTTCAGCCTGGAGAAGAGAAGGCTCCAGGAGACCTTAGAGAAACCTTTCAGTAACTAAAGGGGGCCTGCAAGAAGTCTAGAGAGGAACTTTTTACAAGAGCCGCTAGTGATAGGACAAGGGGGAATGGCTTTAAACTGACACAAGGTAGATTTAGATTAGCTATTAGGAAAAAATTCTTTACTGTGAGGGTGTTCAGGCGCTGGCATAGGTTGGCCAGAGAAGCTGGGGCTGCCCCATCCCTGGCAGGGATGGGGCCAGGTTGGATGGGGCTTTGAACAATCTGGTCTACTGTGAGGTGTCCCTGTCCGTGGTAGGGATGTTGGAACTAAATAATGTTTAAGAGCCATTCCAACCCCAACCATTCCATGCTTCTATATAGTCCACTCCAGTTGAAGTCAAAAAGTATCTGCAGGATCTAAATATGCTGATGTAGTTTCTTTGCAGCTCCTGTAGTAGCTCTGTAGCCAAGAAGCATTTTAGCTGGTTCAGTGCTCATGTACAGGCTGCACGTGCCTGCTGACAAGACACAGTGTGAACACACCCACAAGAGATTACAAGCATCTCAACATCTTGAACCAGCCATAATGGCTAAAGCAGTCAGTGGTTAATATAGGGCTAGCAGTTTCTCAGCTGGTCCAAAAGCCAGAACTGCTCTAATCCTGAATGAAATGGGAAGAATCTAGAAGGGTGAAATCTGTCTTTATGGAACAAACTTCTGCAGAGTTTAAAAAATCCCCTCTCCTCCAAACTACTGATACAAGCACCAAGACGACCTTTGATTCATCCTTCTGCAGTAAGTAGGATTCTTTTTCAGAACACATTCTTTAATTAGAAATGCTTAGCTAAAGTAATTTTGGTTTAGATTTTTAAAAATCTAAAGTATTCCAAGCAATGGAAGTCCGTGAATTACTAATAACCAGATAAAGTCTATGCTTGACTAATAGCTTGTATTAATAGTTCACCTAACTTAGGTGTTTGTAACCATTAGCTCATGTGAGCTATTGTACTGTACATGTGAAAAAAACAAGGACTTTGAGGTTTCATGAAGAGACTGTCTTGTCAGTACAGAGAAGAACCCACAAAAAATTCCACTGTATAACAGCAAGATTTCAAGGGTGTGACTACAAATAACGAGACTACCTTTTATGTATGCCACTGCTGTAAAATCTTATAATGAGCAAGCAATTATCTTAATGTACTGCACTGTGGACTCTAGACAGCGATATGGGTCAGGTAGGCTCTTGTCAATCCAAGTCAACAGCATCACAGTGCAATGAGGCATATTATGACATATTCCAATCTTTTAGAAAAGAGTGGTTAAATCTGGTGTCTGAAACAGAATGTGTTGAAGGAAAATGCTACTCTGACAGCTCTTGAACTGTTTATAAATGAAGTAACACCATAAATGTCTAGAACAATGAAAGATAACAGGGTTGAATCTGAAATCAAGACTGAATATGTAAAAAGTGTAATAAAATTTCCAAACCAAAGACTGTTTAAAGAGTCCGCCATGAAGACATAATTAACTCAGTCTGATTCTAAATTAAGTTCCTCCCATAGGAATCCTCCAACCTTCAGGAAGTATATAGTCTGTAGAGCAATTAAAAATTCAACCATTTCTCCAAACTGTCCCCAATTATTATCTCTCAACCCACTCTATTTTTAATCCTGAAACAGAAATGTGTCTCTGAATATATATTCCTGATTTTACGTATGATCTGTTAAATCTACGGAGCAAATGTACTCTTAAATCACACTGTAATCTCAGAGTTCCACGTATTTTCTTGTATACTCCAATGGAAGATTTCAGAGAGTACAGTGGAATTATCGATCTGTTTAGTGTTAGGAAAGCTATTGATTATGCAGTCATGTAAGCTTATGAAAGCATGAATTGACCTTGCAGGGTATTTTATTTGTATTTCAACTGTGGTTCACTGCAGTACACAGATGTGAGCAGCACTGTTATTTATACACTACAGTATAGCACACTACAAATTAATCTCTTCAAGAAGGAGTGCGATTTTATAATCTGCAGGAATGTTTAACACACACTTTTCAGAAGAGATATTAAAGTGAGAAAAGGGTAATAGAGGTCAAGTGCAATAAAAAGCAGGAGGGAAATTACAGGGCTAGGAAAATGGGTTGATCTTTTAACTATTCTTTTCAAGATCCAGGGTTTTGTTTTTGTTTTTGTTTTTGTTTTTTTTTTTTTTTTTAAGTAGTATTGTGATCATTTAAAAAAAGTTTAAAATAGTTTGGTGGGGTGGAGCAGTGTGCCAGCTAAACTGCAGGAATTTCCTTCTCCCTTCATCATCAGATGCAAATAAGGTTTGTCAGGATGGTATTTCTGTGGGCAGAGGGGCCATTATCCACAGCTCACACAGGGCTATTTCAGCCTGATATCACTCCTGAAGAACTGTTACACTGCTTTGCCAGGCTCCAAGCTCAGCGAGATAGCACAGAAACACAATGCGGAGAGGCTTCACTGAAACACAGCATCTGCTTAGCCTTTTTCCATAGCCTCCTTCCCTCCCTCCACAGCAATTTTGAGAGCTGTTGTAGCTATTTCTTAGCTTCCAGCAAAAACAGGAGTTGTAACCATTTGGAAAACCTGCAGATTATTTGCCACCATGGGCGTATAGCCCAAATGAGAATAAATCAAGCTTAGAAATCTGTAAAGCAAAGGGATGTGGAGGTGTAAAAAAAACCATTACAGCTTGCACCTAATTGGGCTCTGTAATTTGTTGCACTAATGAAACATTTAAGCGGAAAAACCTTTGAAGAATACTAATATAATAATTAATATTCAGGTTACCTAGGGAACCTGAGACTCCACTGACTGTAGCTAGAAGAGTCTTTGCAGAGGAAGCTACCCAGCACAGCTTTTTTTCCTGGAGCATTAAGAATGACACTTCCAGGCAGCTGTGAGATTATTTCCCCTCGCTTTCCAAGTTTCTACCAATCCTCTCTTATAACCAACAGACCTGAGGACTTGCTTTGTCTAAACCAAGTTAAGGCTGATGTAAATCTGAAAAGGGAAGAATAATTTGGGTGGGCTTAGAAACAAAGAGGTAATGGGGAGATGCTTGATGATTGTAGAGCCCTAAAGAAGAAGAGAAATATATAAAAAAAATAAAAATAAAAAAAAAAAGAGAAGCAGAGCTGAATTTCATAAAGGAATGGTCTGAATAAAAAACACTTAAATAATTCTCTATATGTTAGTAGCAGTAAACACTGGAGAAGGTTTTCCCTATAATCACTAAATCCCTAAATTAGTAGGATGCCATGTGTTCTGTTCTGTCAGCTTGTGTTGTTAGATAAAACCTCTTTAGCAATGGCTGACAAACACTACTGTGGGGCACAATAAATCTTGACTAGGACTGCAAGAGCAATGAACCGAGTGCTCATACTTTCTCCTCTGAGGGCAACCCAAATCTGGCAGTGCTGATGTCAGCATTACTGATACTGAAATAAGTGAGGGCCAGGAGCCTGGCTCCCTGACAGAGGCCAGAGGGGGGGGGGAAAAAAAAAAAAAAAAAAAAAAATCAACCAGAGAAGAGTGACTGGATATGGGAGGTACTGAAGGGAAAATCATGGCTTGTACTTGCTTCATGACTCTTCTTGATTTTGAGAAACGCATGGCTAAATGTTATATAGCTGTCAAGAACCACTGACCACTGCCAGATACAGCAACCCAGCCAAGTGCATGTGAGCCTGAACAGCAGAGCAGCTTTAGAGGAAACCATTTGGAAAAGGAAAAGGGCAGCTCTCTGCCAACAAATGTACACAGTTTGCACAGCTGCATGGCAAGGCTGAGCTAGGTAGAAGAGGGTCAACCTGGAATTGTGCACTCTATGCTGGTAAAAGCACTGTGGTTTGCGCCACACATGGCTGTCAGCTGTAACCCTTCTGGCAGATACAAAGACAAATATTTCTTTCCTGCATTGCAGTTCTAATTTATATTCTTTTATTTGTCCTGGATCTGCTGGGAGTGTGGCTTACAAAGAGAATCAATGTGTACTCATTGGCACACAGTGCTGTCTTCGAGGAACATAAGAGTTACTGGCTCAGATCGTATATTCCTTCACTCTACCAGTATGACGGTAGCCAACAGCAAAGGCTGTTAGAAAACAACAAGAAAGGTTCTCTGAAAAATTCACTACCCCACAGGAAGCTGCTTTTGAACCTTATTAATTAGAGGTTAGTTTATGCCCTGAAGCAGAAGATATTAAATCCCTTATAAATATGCATGCCTGTTCTTCAGAACTTCAGGGTAATACAGAGATGTCATACAACTGACACCACACCTGCGAAGCATGTAAGCGTTCGCTCCATTTAACACATGGTCAAACAGGGAAAGAAGTCAAGCAGCTTATCTTCAGTCTAGTCAGTAGACAGACTTCTGGTGGCACTGGCAGGTGAGTAGTATGACACAGGCAGCTTCAAGCTCTGCTTCTAGAGGTGGCTAGCCATAATACCCAAATCC